GAGCCTTAGGATCCGTGACGTTTATGCTATGCAAATTCTATCTCAGCCCACCCAATCGCCACGCCAAAGATAGATCCCCAGAAAGGTGGGCAGGAGCTGTCTCAGCAGGAAGGAAGTTATAAAGCTGCGGGAGGGGGCAGACACCTCAACCCTGCTGCATGTTTTGAGAACTCTAAATCAGAGGGCGTGTCAGATGGAACCTTTGGGGACCTCCCAGGCTCTCCCACGCTCGCAAACAGCGGAAGAATCAGAAAAGTCCCTTGTGCCCAAGAGCAGCAGGCAAGATGGGAGGAGAGCCCGAAACCCAAAAGGCACTGCTGGCAGGTGAGTGGACCGTTTCAAGGGCAGCCCGGCTGATCAGACTTAGAACCCTTGCCATAAAGGCACATCAAGAGAAGGGAGCCCGCCTGCCTTGGCCATCTGTGTTTGGAATAGAACCCAGCACGTGTTAGGTGTCCCGGTGATTTATGTGAGTTAAGGCGCAAGCTATACGCTGTACACAGTGATCACATTGGATTCTCATTATGACGCACTGAATGGGTAGTAGCAGCGTTTCCATTTTATAGGGGAGAAAACCCAGGGTCACACAGACAGTGGACATCCGATGAATACAAGCGTGGAGACACGACGACACCTTCCCTCCACCTTGACCCCACATGAGCTAGCCCCATTCAGGGAGGGGAAAAAAAGAGGGGGGACCCCAAATGACTCAAATGAAATGCCCTCTGTCTTCAAATGAGGAACTAACAAATTATTTAAAGAAAAGAAAGTTATATTTGGGGGGTACCTGAGTTTAGGGAGTATATGATTTGTACCTTCCCCACCTACATAATTTCATTTGATCCACCCCAAAATTCTGTGTTAATTATTCATGCAAGTGATGCTATGGAACAGAAGAAAGGGGGGAGGGACAACACAGGGTACATAAAAGAAGGGGGAATGAGATTAATTCAACCATATCAATAATTATGTTGAATGTAAATTATTTAAGTGCACAAATTAAAATTCAGGGATTTTCCAGTTGGATTTAAAAGGCAACAAAAGACAAGATCCAACGATGAGCTGTCTACAGAAATCTTCTTTAACCTTTTTATAACTCACGGGATACATATGACCCATCAACATTTTCATCCTCTCAGGTTTCTTGGGAAACTGCTAACCCAGCTGCAATATGTACTACCACCTGACAGGGTCCACTTGGTTGGTATGCACAAGCAGGGTCCACTTGGTTGGTATGCACAAGATACGTCAAAAAGAAGTGCTGCTAGAATGGGGAAGCTCACTATCAGCACTAAAACCAGACCAGGGCAGACTGGGACAGGCCAAGTTCAGATTAAAGCTGAACAAAACAAAAACAAGTTCACAAGAGCCAAAATACAACCTTGAGTCTATCCCTCCCGAATTTCAAGAACATCTTAAGAACAGATTTGATGCAGCGAACACTTCTCATGACAGAAAACCTAGTGAGCTGTGCGAGGCCATCAAGAACATCGTCCATCGCAAAAGCAAAAGGTCATCCAAGACAGAGGAATGAAATAAAACATCAAAGCGGATGTCAGAAGATACTCTGAAACTTGCTCTTGAATGTAGAATAGCAAAAGCAAATGAAAGAAAGAATGAAATCAAAGCTGAACAGAACTTTTCAAAGGACAGCTCGAGAAGGCAATTATAAATAGTCTAATGAAATGTGCCAGGACTTAGAAAGCCAAAAGGGAAGTGCATGCTCAGTGTATTTTAAACTGAAAGAGTTCAAGAAAAAGTCAAGCCTCCAGTTGCAATACTGACAGAGTCTATGGCAAAATATTGAACGATTACAGGAAGTGTCAAAAGTAGATGGAAAGAATATACAGTCACTGTACCAGAAAGAACTAGTCGATAGTCAACCATTTCAAGAGATTGCATGTGATCAAAACCAATGGTGCCCAAGGAAGAAGTGCAGGCTGCACTGAAAGCATCAGCCAAAAACAAGGAATTGATGGAATACCAAGTGAAAGGCTTCGACTGGTTTATGAAACACTGAAGCACCCACTTGTCTATGCCAGGAAATTTGGAAGACAGTTACCTGACCAACCAACTGACAGAGACACCTTCCCTCCTTTCATATGGGTGCCCATTCCAAAGAAAGGTGTCCCTATAGAACGAGTAAATTATAGAAAAATGTCAATGATAGCTCAAAATTCACTGCCTCAGGTCAATTCTGACACACAACGACCCTACAGGACAGAGTAAAACAACCCTGTGGGGTTCCAACACTGTCGTTACTTTTCTTTACTGTTTTATTGGCACATAATCCACATATCATACAATTCAATAGCTCAATCATGACAAGAAGAATTATACAATCTTTACCCCATTCAGTGTTAAAAC